AACAGCTCGAGAGGGTGCAGGAACGGAGCGAACTGCGCCTTTCAGCACGACAATGCTGCTCCACCTCAACCGAGAGGGAGCAGTATGGCCTCGTCTGAGATGCAGAGCTCCAAGAGGATGAAAATGGATAGAGAGATTAGCAGTTGAAAGAGTTCCGTGACTACATGTAGTTTATTTTACATTTGGGGGAAAAGCTTGTTGCAGCTGTACATTTTTTAGGCGAGAGAGGCTTCTATGGCCTGTTTTGTGCTGCAGGAAATTCGCCTTATTTGTTCCCCACAGCGAAGTTTTAATTTACCAGGGATGCACCATTCATCAAGTCTCAACTTGCTTTGTTTTGCTTCTTTCTGAATTCTTGGATGTTAAATGAACTGGTTACTGGTTAGTAATGTTCGGTTGTATCGGTCAAATCATGTACCAGACCGGAATAATGAACATTGACGGTTGAAACGAAATAATGAACATTTGAGTTACGTGATTTTGTAACAGTTTCGCTTGGACGGAACTTATGAAGTAGTAGTCTTTTTCAATCATCTGGGCCGAAAGCCCATTGGACTTCTTCCGTCGTAGTAAGCCCAATATCCCGCCGAACTAACCAAATGGAGAGGAGCAGAGACAGCTCCGTCGCTTTCATAAAAAAGTTCAACTGGGATTTCTCTCTCTCCGGCTCCGGCGTTCAGTCAGTGTCAGCCAAAATCGACGGCGAGCGAAAGGAAGAGGAAAGATAACAAGTTAAATTGGGAGAAGCAAGCTGCGATTATGTTGAAGTTTCTATCGAAGGTGAGGATAGAGTTCAACGCATTGGACCCGCGCCTGGCTTCGTGTATGGAGTTCTTGGCGCAGTGCAACGCTCGCAAGGCTAAAGAATCGAATCCGGCCTGCCAGGTCCAAGTCAAGCGCCGCACCGACGACCACCCGCCGCAGATCACCGTCACTTTCGTCAACGGCGTCGAGGAGGTCTTCGATGGCACCCAGACTACTGCGCAGACGATACGGAACATGATCCTGGAGAAAGGCCAGTACCTCGAGACGGAGCAAATGTTTCGGGAAGCTGGGGAGAAATGGCCGGTTGTCATCCCTGACGAAGAGCTCAATATCCCTGCTCCTGGAACCAAGGTTTGTTTTCCCCTTTCTCTTCTTCATTTCCTTGAATCCATGACCTATGGTTTGTGTTCTGGTGGCGTGTCCTGCCCGTTCAAATAGTGTTTATTATGGGGTTTTAATCTCTTTGGTTCAATGCTGCTTATTTCTGCTTGGCCTTGTGAATCATTTGGCTCCTTCCCTTGTTGAATTATGGTGGCATCTTTGTTTTGTCATTGGGGCATTTCGTCGAACAGGTGGTGAGCTTAGGTGTTCCTCTTTTTGCCTAGCTTACTGTGTGTTGGTGGAGTCACTAGTTGGATTAACATGATTGCCATGCCTGCCTGGTTTATCCTCATTTGGTGAAATGTAGATAGAACATCAGTATATCTCTCTACAGTTACTGTCCTTATCTGCACCTGCACTATTATGAGATATATTCTGCAACAAGAAGCCTCGTTTGTTTAGCAGGAACCTGATGATAATACTGGACAGACCAAAAAAAGATTTGAATGATGATTTTTTTTCTTTTTCCGAACGATCTGACCCATGTAGCAGGTCTTTAAGCTGATTAAATCTCCTTTCATCCAAGCCTGAATGTCTCAAATGCTAGGATTCAGCTTTGAAAAACCAAGCTTTTCATGTCTGGTTATCTTTCGATTTACGTCGTGGGATTTAGTACGTTACATATTTGCTAATTTTCCTGTTTGATAGCCGTTTGTGTTTTAATCTTCCTTTTGCCTTTGAATGGAGAATTGGATATGTTCATCATCTATCAGTAGCAATGCGCTCTATCTTCATCTGCATTGTTCTCGAGCAACAAAATCCCCAACTGTCCAATTCTTGGTCTGCTGATGCTACTCTTTCATCTTTGACCCCAGCCAAGGAAAGCAGAAGACAAGAAGTGATATCCATCTCTTTTTCAATCGGCACTAGTTGATGGAATCTTCAGCAGAAGTGCAACTCTCATTGTTTCGATAAGATCATAGATTAAATTTTACTGCTGCAGCTGCTGCATATGCTTGTGACTGAACAATCATCAGCTAGAGGCTAGCCTACTTTTCTCTATACAATCATCTGATTTTTAGGATGTTACTGATGTTAAAACTGTTTATCAAGGTTCTCATCCATTATCCAACGGCAAACTGTATGGTCCCTTCAATAAATGCTGAACTTGTGCATTGAATAGCTCGAGTAATTTACGAGCATCGATCCTAAAATTGATAGAATAAATTGCTCTGTCAACAAGAGAATGAGGTTTTACTACTGCAATTGCTTTGTCGATGAGAAGACGAGGCTTTATTAGTGTTTATTGTTGATACAGCCAAGTGAGGCTAAGTAGGGAACACTCTGTACAACTTAAGTTTCAAGACGAACTTCTCAGCATCATTCTGTACAAACAAACAACTCAAAATCCGGACAAGATAGCTCATCTCTCAGTAGCATTCTGTACACACAAACAACTCAAAATCCGGACAAGATGCCTCTTTCATCAGTCGCCGCTCTAATCCTTCATCTATCATGAAGGAAAATGGCGAGAGGGATACAGTTTTCAGCGGTCTTCTCGACGAACTCTGTTAGGGTCACCCATCATATCCATCATCATCTTCTCCGGTGAATCTTCCCAGTTCGAGAAAGTCTTCAGATCGACCTGCAAAACAAAAGTTGAGAAAGATAAAATTTGTGTAATTTGAGACAGTTGTCTTTAAACAGTGAACCTAGTCTGAAGCTGCAATAGAGGGCACCTTTCGTCGCTGCTCAGTGAAAAGCTCCTCCCGTTTCTTGTATGAAGTTTGTACTGACCTTGCCGCCTCTCCACCAAGTCCCCAGACCTCGACTTCTGAAATCAAAGCCTCAACTTGGAGAAACCCCTGCGATATGGAAAAGATTAGTTAGCCCACTGAGAAGATCCATTTGGTTTTGATGAGAGCTGTATTCGCAGCCAGGAGTAATTACCTGATTGGGGAAGAGGGGACCATTTTGGTAAGTCTTGTCAACTGCATGGTGACGAACAGTAACCCTAGCAAAGTCTTCATCGATATATAGCCTTTCGTTCCCCATTGATCCACCAAACCCGATTCCAGCAGGCTTTGGGTGTGGATCGTATCCCCTAGCATGATGCAGGTGGCTGTAAACAAAGTTCTTCTCTTTTCCTGTTAAACAGATGCAAAACAAAAGCTTTCAGAACCATTCATCACAAGAAAGATCAATGATAAAGGGATCAGAAGAAGGGTTTAAAGTTTCAGATTACCAGAAGGTGGAAATACATGGAACACAGGGCAGATAGCATATAAAGTTGCAGAGGTTCCATAAAAACTCTCTTTGTTCTCCAACCCTTGCTGCGTAAGAGCACCTATAGTCCATTTCTTTGCAGTTGAGTTATCCCCATGAGTATCTCCAGAAGTAGCAGACACCAGGATAAGTAATGGACCATGATAACCTTCAACATTAGACCAGAATCTATTCAAGCCCTTGCCGTGAACAGATGACCTAAATAGTAGAATGAACGGAGGTCAATCTAGAATTCCTTTCTAAACTTAACAATAGAACTTCAGTTTCAAAATGGGATGTATACATAAATATATGTACACAAGCAGTGTAGGAAAACAAACCGATAGAGAACGTGTTCATCTGATTGATCACCGTCACTAGGGAAGTATGGTTTAAGAATTTCCACACTAATCGCGCTCCTGAGAGAAAGAGAAATCGCCCATGCACGTCCACATGTCAAGAGATACGAACTGCGCGCACTCGATAATACAGACCCTCCAGGAATCGAGGTACCTTGTGCAGACTCATCCTACCAGTTCATGAAGAAAATCGTCATTCAGGGACTTGAACATTACAAGAGAAGAACACAAAACATCATAAACATTACTCTCTTACCCCTGAAGAAACACCATTCTGCAGCCTCGAATTGATGAACTGAGTCAAACAATCTGTCAAGCTTGGAGCAGTCGCCAATGCCCAAGCAAGGAACTTCCCAGCAGGAAGCTGAACTTCTAGACCAGCTAAATCACAGACCCAGAAGTCTACTCCATCAAGACCATCACAACACGAAACAACAGCAGACAACGCCAGATGACTGACATCCGGAAGGAATAGGGTTCTCTCTTTCCCATTCGAAGTTTTTGAATCCCACAGTATCGCCCAAGACATCCATAGCAGAACGAGCACATCAGCTGGTAACAGATAACCACTTATCTTATAACCACCATCATCCATTGACTCAAACTCCAGTTTCGAAGGAGACCCAGATCTCGCCAGCGTCGTAGCAAACAGTCTCATCAGAACGTTGAGTGACATCGAAGCAGTCATCCTTCCACAGCATTTCACGTAGCCTTTCACGAACTCAATCCAACTGATCCCTTCCTTCTCCGCAAGGAAGAATTCGTCCACTAAGGACTTCCCCAGATGATTCAGAACTCCCAGAAACGAACTTGGGTCGGGCGCTTCAGTTGATTCGAAGTCTGGGGTTTCGTAACTAACACCGAAGCATTTCTAAGAAGGAAAAAAGGAATTGAAAAAACTCAATCAGTAAGATAATCCAGCTAGAGTATTGATCGTGCTCGTGAACTTATGGGGGAAGTCATTTACGAAGGAAAAAGTTCGATTCTTTGGTGTTGGATTAGACTTTTTACCTGGAGTGATTCAAGAGGAATTGCGCTGGTTTGAGGATCGGCAAGCTTCGCGAAGGAGTTCTGGAGCATAGGAAGTGCTCCAACAGAAGCTGCGAGGCTTTCCGCTTCTCTTTGCTCGCTCGAACCGGCCTGCTGTGTCGACGACGAAGCTCCCATTTTCTTCCCCACGGCGTAAGGATTTCGAATCGTATGGAAAATCAAAATTCTCCCTTTTTCCGTTCTCCGCTTCCCGTTTGATTCTCGAGAAAATACCCAGCGAGCTTGATTGCCTATAAATCTAACCGACATTAACCGCCGCTTTTTACCGGACCGGACAGCCCTTATCCGGTTTATAAATTATAACCCGCTGCCGACTAATTCCGGGTCCTGAATCTGATTTCCGATCCACCGTCCACGTAAACGAGAAGGTAGATAAAGAAAAGAGGGAGCAGCAGACGGGAAAAATAATTCAGAGAAATCGTGGCCTAAACTTTTCCCGATTTCCGGCGATCTCTAGGGTTTTTGATTCTTTTCTCTACAGCGCGGCAGAAGAAGAGAGCAATGCCGGTACTAGGTCCTTACTCAGGCGGAAGCACCCTCTGTCTGGTAAATTCCTTTTTCCTTCGTTCTTCCTGTAATCAGTGTCGATTCTCCTCAAGTCTGCCTTCTTTTAATCGAGAACCAAACGGTAGGTTTGTATTCAAATTCTCGACGGATTCCTTACGATTGCGGATTGAATTGGTGGTGTGATATAGGTGGCTCGTGCATCGGCGTTCAGTGTCGGGGTAGTGTACGGAAGTTTGAAGCTCAAGTATCTTACGGTAATAGTAATTACTAATTCCTTCTTAACTCCCAGCTCGGTCTGTAGATGTAGCAGTTGCTGCAGTCATGAATTTGGAGAGAAAAGAAATTTATTCGATTCCTGTAAAATCCTGGCATCCATGCTTGATTGTGGAGCTGGGTTTCTCAGATTTCTAGTTTGAGACTATGGCTTGAGAAGGTGATGATTTCTGAGATTTCTAGTTTGTGAATTTAGCTTGATCAAGGTGATGCGAAGTTTCAGAGGTTAGTTATTCTATGGCTTGAGAGAGTGAGCATTGATCTTCCCAATAGAATGGATTGTCCAGGCAAATGTTATAGCAATAGGCTTCTAATTCGGTAGGGCTGTCGGTCGCGATCACGAATAATGAGCTTGATAGGATATATATAATCCAATGATCTAGTCTAAGTAGTATCTATGTGAATCCTTGTCATATGAACCGCAAGATGTGCGGACCCGAACCCTCCTCTGCACTTGTTCCTGTTTCTTTTGGTGTATACATGGTTTGATTAGAAGGGGAAATCACATATATAATAGTTCTAGTACAGTGGTGTTGTTCTCATAGTTCAGGCTCTTGGACAGGGTTTAATCCAGGTGCTAAGTAGTTTCTATGTGAATGCATGTCATATGAACCGCAAGATGTGCGGACCCGAACTCTCCTCTGCACTTATTCCTGTTTCTTTTGGTGAATACATGGTATGATTATAAGGGAAAATCAAAGATATACTAGTTCTAATACACTGGTGCTGTTCTCATAGCTCAGGATCTTGAATAGAGTATAATCCAGGTGCTAAGTAGTTTGATGTGAATGTATGACATTGTGCAGTTCGTCTGGTATATGTTTCTGAATGTATGAGTATAACACACTCATCATCATCTTCGATTCATTGTCACTTTTAAACTTGTGATGATTGAACTATCAATTCTGAATCTCTTACCAGATGACGAAGAAGACCCCGATTGGAGCCAAGGGAGGACACCCCAAATGATCATGCACTTGCTGCTGGATGATTTGCTGTGTGATGAACTACGGGGAGTCCGTGTTTTTGTTAGCTGAATAAGAATATTTGTAGCACATTATGGCACAGTTGTTTTGGATGAGACACATGAGCTAGCGATTCAGGCTCACATTGATTACCATGTCCAGTTATGTTTACAGATAGATTGACAGTGCTTCTGATTTTACCAACTCTCTCATTGTTGAGCATGTAAAGGAAGCTCCATTTCCAATTCCATCTATTTTACTACTGATTGTTAAATTACTAGGTCATGTGCTTGCTTACATTAGACTAGTGTTTTATGTTCACCGGTTTAGTCTCTGCCAGTGCCCAGTGGGAACGTGCCGTGCGTTGGGGATTGAGATTGAGTGATTGACTCAAGTCAGTGGTTATGTGCCCAATGGGCCCAAAATTGTCAACATCGGTGGGGCACCAATAAATGGATTGGGCCAAATGGCTAATGCAGGTTGAGCCTTAATAAATGGTCGGTAGGGTTGGGCTCAGTCCATTTACAGCAGAATCATCTGTCTGTCCCAATCCCTCGTGAGTGTGAAGATTCCCTTTAAATGTAAGCAACAGTAATTATTAACAAAAATGCTCCACCGACAACAGGATCTAATTCTATTTTCTAACGATTGTAATTTGACGGTTAGTGATTACCAATAAATGAAACACCATTACACCAATAGCCTAAATGAAAAACAAACCGTGAGAAGCAAAGTTGAATGAGAATGTCTTTTTTTAATAACGTAGAACACCCTTTGTAGTCATTATTTTCAATGATGTCATAGTCTACTCTCGAGTTGGTTACTCCTTTTTGCCATTGAATGGATTATTGGAAAAAAATTAAATAGATTAATGGAGTATGAGCAACAACATGTCGTGTGTATATATATATATATGTATATATATCAAATCAACAATGGACATTTAGTCTCGTAATATTTAAATATACATCACATCAACCAAAATGGATTATCAGCTAGATAGAATCAAGTTTGGCCTAGTTTATTAATGTTATTGATTTCACGAGATGATGTCATATTTCAGACAATCAGAAAGCAAACTTGATATGGATCGACACTCTACACTCTACAGAGCATAATTAGCATTTTATAATTTATTATTATGTTAATTCCAGAATTTTAATGATACAATTTGCTTAACTAACCTATTAGTGAGTGACTTCAAACTCCAGTGACCATTTGTTAAATTAGCCCTAAGTTTCCTGGCTAGTGGCTAGTTGCAGTATTCCCGTGTAGAGAGCAAGCAAAGCTCACCACTGCACTTCACTCTGCTCGTCAAAAGTCCAAAGTCAGAAGAAAAAGGAAAGGAAGTTAAATTTACAACAGCAAAACCGCAGCCGACAAACACTTCTTCACCCCGCTGTCCTAAATCCAAAATCTCACCCACTAATCACATCTCCTTTTCCCTCCTTAGTTAAACAAATCCCACTTGTTCCACCCCAAATCTGAGTTCTTTCCACTCACTCACTCCCAAAGCTCCAATCTTTACACAGCAGCAGCAGCAGCAGAAAAGCAAGATACCCAACAACAAAAAAGATGGGATCAGTGTCGCTGAAAGTCGGCGACGGCACCGCCAGATTCAAGCGAGCAACACTCTGCTCATCGGCGGTAAACCTTCTCATGATCCTTTCAGTCCTCACTACAAATCTCTTCGCTCTCTACGCCTTCAATTACTCCCCCACTCACCACCATCACAATCTCAATTCCCATAAGAACATCTCCTTGATCTCCGAGCATGTCTCCCAAATCCTGCGGGAGATCGATTCATCTCAGAGAAAGCTCGCCAAGATGGAGAAGGAGCTTCTGGGTTACGACAGCATCGACATCTCAAGACCCAACATCGCCAGTGAGCTCAAATTGTACCTCCAGCATCACCAACTGCCACTAGGGAAAGATTCAAGAACTGGGATCACTGAAATGGTGGCTTCAGTTGGCCATTCCTGTGAGAAGTCGACGGATTTGCTGTCTCAGTATATGAACTACAAGGTTTCTGGTTCTTGCCCTGATGATTGGAGTCTTGCTCAGAAGCTGATACTTCGTGGGTGCGAGCCTTTGCCGAGAAGGAGGTGTTTTGCTAAAGGTGGGAGTAAGTTGGGGCTTCTGAAACCTTTTCCTTTGTCTCTTTGGAGCTCTGTCGTTGACAATAAGGTGGTTGGTAGTTGGAGTGGTTATGGTTGCAAAGGGTTTGATTGTTTGAGTAAGAAGAAGTTGAGTAGGGAATGTGTGAATTGCTTTGATTTGGCTGGGGTTGAGAATCAGAGGTATGTGAAGTCCAAAGGGAAGAATGATTTCTTGTTGGATGACGTTTTAGGGTTGGGCAGCGGTGGGATTAGAATAGGGTTCGATATCGGTGGTGGATCGGGGACTTTTGCTGCTAGAATGGCTGAGAGGAATGTCACTGTGATTACAAACACATTGAATGTCGATGCTCCATTTAGTGAGTTTGTGGCTTCAAGAGGGCTGTTCCCTCTGTACTTGAGTTTGGACCATAGGTTTCCATTTTATGACAATGTGTTCGATCTGGTTCATGTGTCCAGCGGATTGGATGTTGGTAGCAAGGTGGAAAAGCTCGAGTTCTTGATGTTTGACATCGATCGTGTGCTTAGGCCAGGTGGTTTGTTTTGGTTGGATAACTTCTATTGTGCTAATGATGAGAAGAAAGGAGTGTTGACGAGATTGATCGAGAGATTCGGGTATAAGAAGTTGAAATGGGTTGTGGGAGAGAAGGTCGATGCAGCAACTGGCAAGTCTGAAGTTTATCTATCTGCAGTGCTTCAAAAGCCGGCAAGAGGCTGAAACTGGAAAAGAGGTAAGCATACTTGGTTTTTGTTCGAACGGGAGAAGCTAAGCTTGCATTGTCAAAATCCCCACATTGAGATTATATTCCCCTTACCATGCAATAAGCACATTTAGAGGTCTCTGACTTTCAAACCGGAATGAAGAGCAGAAGAAAGCCATATATTTATGTTCTGATGTAAAATTTGTCTGTCTTTTCCTTGTGTAACATTTAGTCTTTTAGGGGGAACTTTTAGGTGTGGAACTTAGTATGAACTCTTAGGAGTATGGGGAAATTTATAGTGTATTCATGAATTTTTACCCAACTGTGATTACATTATGCTTGTTACCAATAGAATCTGCATTTACCTAGAAAGACGATGCTTCCAGATTAATTGGTCTTTTACTATTCCATCAAAGATTTCAATACCGATTCATTTTGATGCACAACTGGAAATGTATTGCCATTGACAATCAGGTATCTCAATTTTAGATGGTCTGCACTCTGCCCACATGACAGGGCCTGGGACTTGACCATATGTAGGTTAACAATATTCTCATTTTTCAATTCCTGGCCAATCTTATACATACTCAATCAACTGCATCCTATTAGCTTACAACTTACAACATACATGGAGGAAAGCCGCACCCTTAACAAGGTGATGGCCGACAATAATCAAAAGCTCCGCAATGCCTACTCCTAGCTAGCTACAGCTTCTGCAGCTGCAGCTGCTGATATGGTGAGTAATGGTTGTACTGGATCCACTTCCTAACAGGTCTCGAAGTTCGATCAGTCGCCCCATTTGCTCCCTTGTAAACCACAAATTCATTGTATCCCTCTCACATTTATCGAGTCACCGGCATTAACCTTGTACAATGGAAGAAGAAGCAATGTTGATCCCCTGCTGCATATTCGCGCTATTGAGAAGCTTCATCCCTTCCTCACTCATCTGTTGAACTTCTTGAGGTGATAGAATCCTTATGCATCGAACACATCCTACGAATTCCCTTTTCAAAACACATAAACCAAATACCAAACATCTCAGGTTTCCATTATCATGCAATAGAAAGCAAAGGGAGGGGATAATAAATGCAGTGAATTTTCTCTTACTCCCAAGGATCATCGCCAATGAGCAGGACATCATTCTCGTAGTCCACGTAAACCAGCTTCCACCCTGACTCCCTTGGATTGTTCAGCAACCCACCAAGCCCGAACATGCACTCGATCGCCGAGCAGAGCTCCTCATAGTTCGTGAAGCTCGAAACATCGATCGATCTCCCAACTGACCCTGCCTTCTGAACCTGTTTTTTTAATCCATTACAGAGTCACAGTTTAGCATTCAAGAGGGAATCAATATATCAAATCTCTGTAGATCACTGAGGTCAAGTATTAAGTTAAGATTTCTAGTTTAGTGACCATTCAATCACAAACACCATACTATAGTGAGCACTGGTGCATCTAACACATTTCTTCAATGATATAAAAATCTTAAAATCATGAATAGTTTTTTTTTATTAGTTCAAGACTAATATTCCCAAATGTCAGATAGTTCATCGCACCTTTGTGTAAGTCCTCGCGCGGGGAGCAACTTGCTGCCAGGAGTTAGTTTGGACGAGGTTATTGCCCTTATCAAACTCCACATTGCTAGAAGAAGTCCCACCAGAGCTATCAGGAAACTCCTGCTGCTGAGAGAAAGCTTGAGAGTCCGCCAAACTTACAGAAGTGATCTGAGATTGAACATCTTGACTCGAGCTGAAGTTGCCCACAAGGCAATCTGAAGAAGGGTTGGTATGGAAATCCTGATCCTTCAAGGAACAGAACTCGTCCAGAATAGTACTTGAAGGGTCAATCACTATACCACCAGGGTGGCCATTGTTGAGAGAGCCATAGATCCCACTTTGGCCGTTGCTCTCATCACCCGAATTGAAGGTGCAATGGTCCGGTTGAGTCATTGGTATGAACTGGGTCGATTGGGTTAGATACCTAAGGTTGTTCATCTGGTGATGCTCCCACATATCCTGGTTCACTAATGTTTCAGGAAAGACGATGGGAGGAGATGGTTCTTGCAGGCCGAACATTGACATTGCCCCGGTCTGTCTCTGGATTGATGACAAGACAGGCATTGCTGGAGGCTGCTGTGAGGTCCATTCGTCGACTGTGTCTAGAAACGGAAGATGGTTTTGGTCAGGTTGAGGGACATGTGGTTGCTGAAGAGGCTGAACAATTGACGATGATGGCTCTTGAAGAGGCTGCTGCATAATAGACCAGTGGCCATTTGGTAAATGTTCAGCAGAAGTTATCTGGGTCAACTTAGGTTCTGATTTCACCATCTTCTCCGGCGGGATTGGCTCTTGCTTTTTGTCAGGTTTTGTTACAGGATTTGTATTTCCAGGAACATTGTTGGTTCTGGATGATGACGAAGGATTCCCAACCTCGCATTGCTCTATACACGACGATTTTTGCTGTTGCTGCTGATAAATTTGATGGTTTCCTGAGAACATAGCTGCTACCTCTGGCTGTTGGCTCATGATCCTAGCATCTTCTATCGGTGATCCTTTGGCAGCAGAGACGTCTTGGAAGGCAGGAGGATAGAGTCCAGGATAGTTATTAGATGGTGGTTTCATTAACATCTTAAGCAGCCGGTCAGAATCGGGGATTGTTGGTGGGTAAGGAAGGTTTCCATTACCACCATCAGGAAGCCAGATTAGGGGTCTTTTGACCATGCCTCCCCATTCAGTTTCTCCTCCTTAATAAATGCAAAAGGTATAGCATCAGAATCAGATCATCACTCAGAGGAGAAAATTAAGAAACCAGTGGGTTTGAGATAAAGCTCTGGTCTACTACCTAAGTAACCACCGTGAATGGACCTCTTGAGACCTGAGGTTAAAGCAGGGAAAATGAAGAGGCTCTCGGGAGTTTCTACTTCCCATGGACTGACTCGATTTGGCTTGTCAGAACATCCTGGCTCATCCCACTCCACCTGGAGATTTCGCCATTTGGAATCAGGCCACCGCAATGGATCTAAGTCGCTAACAGCCACTATTGACCCCATGTACCTGTTCAACAGGAAAGCACACATTGTTTAAAAAGCAATCTCAACATAGTTAGTAATAGAACAGTTGGAAAAAAAGATCAAATTAGACCTTCGTTTGGTCGATTCCTCCGTCTCAAACATCATCCCAAACCTCATCCCAACGGACACCTGAGTTCCGTACACAGCTTTCCTGTACTTGACCAAAGGAATGACAAACTCTGAAGGGCATGCCCTGCCAATAACCATAAAAAGTCAGGCCCTTTCATTTACCTGCACAGCAAGGCATATCCACAAGAAACACAATGCATAAAGACTGAAACTTTAGAAGTTAGTTACCTTGGATTGTAGAAGATGGTGAAAGGACTCCTGTTTGCAGCAGCATGAGCTGCAGCAGCAAGGACACCAATGTGCATGCTATCTGCAGAGAGAACCGAAGATGGCAGCATCGACTGTTGACGATTTGCTCGTCTCACTCCCACCATTAACTGTGACTTCTCATCCCTGTCCAACCAATTCCATTAAGTATCCATACGAGATAAGAGCAATGAATCAAAACCCATCAATCAAGACAAATAAAGCATCAACTTACCTGATGAACAAGACGGAATCTCCTGCTTTCAGCCTTTTCGATCCTACAAAAAGGCTCCACCCAGTTGTGAGGAGGTGTCGCTTTGGTTGACCTCGATAGATGTGGCGAAACGTCCAGGAATTGTCGTGTAAGTCTCTAACTATCAGCTCCTGAGTTGGAGGTTGCATTGTGTAATCCTGAACCAAAAAGGATTCACCTTTTTTATGTTTATTTCTCCAACCCAATAAGGTATAACTAAGAGATATCTTAGGTCGTGGAAATCGGAAACTGACCAACTGAGGGAAGAGCTTCTCTGCTGCCCTCCTAGGGACTGAGAAACCACCATGAGTGCTCGTGTCACTTGCTGTCAAAGTTTTGCAGAAGAACTCGGTGGGGTGCCTGCTGCCCTTCAATCCAAAGTCCGAAATAGGGAAGATGTCTTTCTCCTACAAAGAGATGGATGAATACATTAGTCACCAATAGGTAAAAGAAACAATTTTTAGTCGAGTCTAGAAGAGGGAGCTTACTGAATTGACAGGTTGAAGGCTCATTTGTGCATAGATTTCATCCGTTTCTTTGTCTGCCTAATGAATGATCACCCAAGATAGCTAGTGTCAAATAGAGGGAACACTGCAGAGGGAAGTTAAGAACCAAAGGGATGGGTAAAAATGGCATACATGGAGGGTGACATTGTGAACTTGGCACAGCAACTGAGATGGAAGGTTTGGGTAGTTGGGGATTTGTGAAGTAGCACTTCTCTTTGTAGAAACTGCAACCTACATCACAGAAGCCCAAAAATAACAAAGCTCAATAGCTTGCTTATCAAGCAATCACGAGTTAAGTCTTGAATTTTACCACCAAACTAGCAAGATTGTGGTTTTAGTTAAGTTATTTTTCTGTCAACCACCCTAATTATAGAGACAAAATTGAGAGAAGAACTATAGTAGCAAAATGCGGAAAAGGGTAGGAGTACATTTAGCCGGGGACAGAGCCATACACTAAAGAGCATGAAGTGAGAGACACTTTGAGATGGATGGCACTACCAACAACCCAAAAGTCCAAACAAAATTGATGATGAATGCAAATCAGATGTAGAGGAAACTGCTCTAACAATAATAAAGTTCAGTCTAGAAACTTAGCCAAAATGTTTGACATTGATACTTAACCAGTTAGCGCAACAAAAAAAAATCCCCATCAACTCCTGAAAAGGACCTTGCCCTGGAAAACCAACACCTCCACCATGGAAATGAACTTGAAATGAAAATATATGAAACTGAAAACTGAAGCATTTATGAGAGTGAGCGAGAGAAGGGGAGAATAACCTGTTCGCTGTGACCCTGTGGGAAGTAATAGACGAGACTTCCAACCTGAGGCAAGGAAACTAGCGGGCCAGCACAGGCGTACCACAGCTCTGTGTTCATTATTGCCTTACGGTTCCCTGAAGACAAACCCAAAAGAGCAACAACAACAACAGAATAAATCCCAACACTACAACATAACCCAGAAAGAGGATGTTTCAGCTCGTGCAATGTTAACGATCAACACTTTAGAAAAGGGGTTTTAAAAAATCCAAACTTTATGACAACAGACCAGCAGAATGATCCTGGATTTCTTTCAGAAGCTTCATTTCTTCCATTAGAGTCGCCGGCAGTTGTGCTCCGGCACCGACCAATCCGCTGCCCTTCCCCTTTTCTTCGACACACGCCATTTTTTGGGGTGGGCTCTGTTTCTGCAGTTGCTCTGTTTTCCGGTTCAACACTTCCTCTGTTTTTTGGGACTCAACAGGATTCCAGCAGCAAGAGCAACTCAAAAGAAACCAACTCCATTAACCCATCCTTCTCATTCTTCTTCTTCTTCTTCTTCTTCTTCTTCTTCTTCAGCTCAAAGCAACCAAAAGCATTTGTCTTTTAATGCTCTTCTTGGCCAATAGCAAAAGGGGAGGAGGGGAAAAGAACAGGACTAAACCTCAGTCCAAGCTTTCAAATCAAAAGAAATGAAGAAAAGACTACTCTGCTCCAGAAGCAGCAGCAGGAGGAGGAGCTCGAGGAATGACAAGGGAATCTCATGTTCACCCATAAAAAGGAAGGCTTTCCCAGTGGTCACAAAACAGAAAGAAACTTGTCTGTCTTTGTTTCTTCTTCAGCTGCTTAAGACCAGAGAGAGACAGAGTGAGAGGGAGAAAGTGAAAGAGAGGGGTCCAATCCAATCCCCAATTCCAAAAGAGACCAACAAAAAAAAAATCAAAGGAAAACCCCTGCAAAAGGAGATGAAAAGGGCTCCCCTTTTATGTTTTTACAACAAGGGGGGGCTATCTATGCTCTCCAACTATTCGACACAAGTCCTCAAAGAAAACCCACCCACCCACCACCTCCATGAGTTCCTACACAAGCACGCCGATCAAAGCAATGAATCTTTCATTCTTCATTCTTCTCCTCTTTCTGCCCTCCCTCCGTCGTCTTCTTCCTCTTGGGCTCCTTTCAAAATCCTGCCTTTCTCTCTCAAAAAGAGGTCGACCTTTCACTGAACTATGAACTCCTATCTTCTCTCTTCGTTTTTTTTTTGCCTTTTCAATAATAATAATAATAATAAAATTATTCAGCTTGGGAAGAAGGGAAGTGGGAAAGAGTGTGCATGCTCTTATCCTGCGCTACACACAAACCACACACCTTTTCTGTATATGGCGCTTCCGTCGCAGCTTTAAACTGTTTCGAGAGAAGAACAAATTTTGTAATTTATAATTTATTAAAGAAGAAAATTTGATGAAGTAAAGGTTGTTGCTTTTTTCGTAATTTCTTTTTGGGTTGTTAGCATGACCAAGAAATGGTTGATTAGTACTACTAACCAAGGCTGTTAATTGTTTGTTTAGCTAGCTAGATAGGTTACAGTCAGCACCCTTTGAAATTACAAGAGTTTTTAAAAAATTTGATGTTTGGAAACACTCCTATGATTCTACATCCTAAACTATCTGTTTCAGTTGAATACCAAACACTTGCATCATTCAGCATAAATGGGAGATTATGACCAGTCCAGAGATGACAGAATGGTCCAAAATTGAGAGTTATACTAGTACATTCTTTTGTATTTGCTCGGAATATGTATATATCGATCAACAGTTTGTGTTAAACTCATGGATAACTGCGTGCATAAATTAATGTTATTTCAACCTTGTTCTCTTTCGATAAGTTAAATTATTGCGATAAACTGATTATTGGTACGTTATAAAAGCTAATTACTAGACTCTCTCTGATTGAGAGTAACAGGTTGTTCTATTTGGAGTAACATGGAAGTTGATTTTGAACTGGGGCTGCTGGCTGGCGGCAGAAGTACTACTCTGGGCTAGCAGCAGTAGCCAGTTCTTAATAAATAAAAGCAGGAGAATACGTAACATATAAGAGAAGAATGTGAGGGCATGCAGCTGCCAAATAAGACTACTGCAACACGAAACCGCGCAGTAAAATTACAATATAAGAGAGATGTCTTGGTGGAAAAAAAAAAAACAGTGTGCAGTAAAATAAAATGAAGGAAATGAAAAGAAATAAACTGAGAAATTCGATTAAAGAAAAGGAGAGAAAGTGGAGGGCTGCGGGTCTAGGAAATGAGAAGAGAAAGAAAGTGAAGGTGGCGTATTTTAGAACGCGGCGTGTTCATGGTTTAAAAAATTGAATCGTACCGGTCAGTTCAACTGGGAAAATGAAAATCGGAAAAAAAAAAAATCAAAACAACATGCTGTTTTAAATTTCAATCAAACCAAAAATGGGAAGAAACTAAATCAGCGGGGGAGCAAATTTCTAATCCGTCCAATTCAATCTCAAAATCGGTGGCAATTCTATTTATTACAAAAATCCTAATAACGATATACTGTCGATGACAACTTGCGACTAGATGGATAAAATACAAAGCTTCATTTGGGGGTGGTCAGCTGGAACAAGATGTATTCACATGGTTGATGTATTCACATGGTTGATTGTGAGACAATATGTAAGTCGAAGAGAGATGGAATTTGGGGTTTCGTCAAGGCAAGGAGCAGTGGCGGATCCAGGGGGTGGCCACCCCGGGCCCCGGCCTAGCCCTCCCCTGGATCCAAAGCTAGTATAGTACTTATAAATTTTTCGTTTTAAGATATTCGGACTAGTGTCAATTTAAAATAAGATTGTGTTTAATTTGGAAAATGATTCAGATGAACATATTCAAACCATAACACTTAATTCAACCTATAAATTCTAGGCTCAATGATTTTCTTCTAAAGAAAAACAATGAACCTAAATTTCTTAAAGTCTAAAACGTAAAAGAGAAATAGAAATATGAGGTTTGTTCCCTTTAAAAATTATTAGAGCAGCTGGTGAAAATAGGGTTGGACATTCAATACAAATTGATTAGTCAATTGATTTGTACAGTGTTGACGTTGCTCGTTTCAACATCTACTACGGAGAGAACCTTTTCAACAATAAAACATGTGAAAACTTATTTGCTTAACAAGATGAGCGATGAATTTCTCAGTGATTGCTTAACTATTTCATTTGAAAGAGAGTATATTATTGGTATGGATGTAGACTCTATTATTGATGAATTTTCTATATTAAAATACAGTCGTGTAAAATTGACATTATAGAAAAATTAGAGTTATTTTTCTTTTATGGTATTTAGTTTTTTAATAAAATCCGGCCTAGTGCTCTACTATTTCCTGGATCCGCCGCTGGCAAGGAGTTGAATGTGGCATTATACCAGGGGCGGAGCTAGGATTTGACGTTCGGGGGGGCCGAAAAAATTTTATATTGTTATCACGGAAAGGTGATAAAAAATTAAAAACTAAGCAAGACAATCAAAATAAATTTTACTTTTAATAGTATTATGATTAATCATTTTAGATGATTATAGTCAAAATATTGATGTAGAATAACTTATGGAAGGTCAAAATGAATAATTTTTCAGTGATATAAAATTGCAAAGTGGTAAAAAACTAAATTTGAAATTAAATGAGCAAAGAAACAATATTGCAATAATGAAATAAAGAAACCATACAACATGAAACTTGAAAGTAATTATATCTAATTAAATGAGTAAAGAAATAATAAATTTAAAAACGTAATTATGCAGATACATTAAAACAGAAAGCAAATAAAAAATAATATAATGGCAGAGGATGAGTATCGAACCCCCAATCAGCTACATAATAACTCCCTTCCTCTCCCGATGGACTAGGCTTACTTTGGTTATTAAAATTGGCACAGTAAACTTATTAGATAGTTTGTGAATTTTTACGAAATTTTCAATATATCGATGTAGTTTAAACGTAACTTTCACGATTCTCCGGGGGGGGGGCCGAGACCAGCTGTAGCTCCGCCCCTGCATTATACGATGAAGCTTGCTTGCTTGGTTATTTCTTATATAATTCGAATGATCTTTAGGTGCAGTATCGCAAGCAAAACATTTCAAAGCAGCGAAGGGACTAGGGAGGATGATTCTGTGTGAGTGAGATCACTAACTCGAACATCCACATTATGGCAGAGAATTGATGAAGTCTTAAACCCAAACTAATAGGTTAGAAGATATATGTATCGGCTAAAAAAAAAACCCCCCATGGCCATGATTCGACTTGTACTGAAATGAATTTGCAATATCTAAATATTGGCTTCTTTTTTTTTTTTTGGTCATCCTATAGTTTACCTCCAATTTTCCTTTCGGTGCATTTTTCCTATCTTTCTTCATTTTTTTGGTAATAATCTGCATTATTAATTTAAATCTCTGCGTGGAAATTTGTAGTTTTTTCTTTTTGGCTGCGGTCTGAAATATTTGACCATCCATTCATCACGCGTGCGGTTCACGACAAGTCTCCGATCGAGATAAGATTTAAGAGGGCTAAGATCTGGTGATTAAGGGGGTTCCCTTAGTCACATGGCTAAGTGAATCTCCACCCTTGTACCTTATTAAAATCTAAGGGCTCCTATTAATTCAATTTAATGAAGGGTAATGTAGTAATTGCATATTTATTTTTAATGTTTGTATGCTTTGTTATTTTGTAATGTTTGTCGGGTTTTTTTGTAATGTTTGTAAACTTTGTTATTTTTGTGCACCATGTTTGTAAACTTTTGTAAACTTTGTTATTTTTGTCAACCATGTTTTTTATGTCTAAAAAACAACCCGGTTGACTTTTGGATGAAACTCCTCTATATAGGGATGAAGCCTCCAAAGTCAACCCGGGTGTTTTTTCTAGTTCGTATGGATTGTCGGTCTAGTTTGTCATTTTTGTCCACCATGTTCGTAATGTTTGTATGTCTAAAAAACACCCGTGTTGACTTTGGGAAGGAGCCCCTCTATATAGGGATGGAGCCTCCAAAGTCAACCCGGGTGTTTTTTCCCGTTCGTATGAATTGTCGGTCTAGTTTGTCATTTTTGTCCACCATGTTCGTACTGTTTGTATGTCTAAAAAACACCCGGGTTGACTTTGGGAAGGAGCCCCTCTATATAGGGATGGAGCCTCCAAAGTCAACCCGGTTGTTTTTTCTTTTTGTATGGTTTGTATTGTTTGTCGGTCTAGTTTGTATTGTTTGTACAGTTCATACGTTTGTAATGTTTGTAAATTTGTTTGTATGTTTTGTCGCTCTAGTTTGTACTGTTCGTATGTTTGTATGGGTTGTACTGATTGTAAATCCGGTTTGTATACTTCGTAATTTTTCATAATACCCAAACTACCTCTGTCATTAATTAAATAGCCCTTCCCACTTTTTAACCATTGGATTGAAGGGTCCAGATCTAAGGGCTGGGAGGGGCTCAGTCAAGTGACTAAGCACCCCCTAGTCACTGGATCCGCCCTCGGGCCCACCCTTCCTACCACGTGTCGCCTCTCTGCATTTGGACCCGCCCACGCTGCCGTTTTTGGACTTCCCACTCAGTTTGTTGCTTTTTCAATTTTCACCCACTTCTCCTCATTAACGTTAATTTGCTACGGACAAACTCACCGTACAACTTATTTAACAGATCCACAACCGTTTGATTCCCATTATTGATATTTGATTGGCAAAATAATGTATCATCATCGTGTATAAACTTACCAAATCCTTAAATCTTTAATGGTTGCTCGGTTTCTATTGTCTTAAATTGGATATGTTATTTCTTGTATATATGTATAAAAATTATGGGTTAATTACATGATTGGTCACTGAGATTACAAAAAAAGTTCAAGTTTGGTCACTCGAAAAATTTAAATCCATTGGTGATACTTCAGTTTACTGAAACCGTTCACGTTTAGTCACTCTCCGTCCAACTCCGTTAACTTTTGCTTACGTGGCGGTCAATTCCAAAAGTTGACCGTTAAAATATGTGACGTGGCAATTTATTTAAAAATAATAATTTTAATAAAATTAAATTTTTTAAACTTGTCATCTCAATTCCACTTCATTATCATTTTTATTTAAAATAAATAAAAAAATTCTAATTTCTTCTAATAAATAAATAATTTCATTTCACTTAGAAAGTAAAAAATCCCAATTTCCCCTGCTATCTCTACTCCCCAAATCCCCAAATGCATATGCTCCA